CTTTTCCCCCTCCGTCACGGGTGTAGGAAGGCAGAGGCACAAAGTAGGGATGGCTGCCGCGAAACAGTCGTTCCGAAGCTTTGCGAGATCCCGAAGCGCAGATGTTTCGAAACACTGATTCGAAGCGTGATTCAAACACCCATGTCACGTGACTATGGCCAAACGAAGCCTCGAAGTGTTTCACTAGTGTTTCATCAGGTGTGATCCGCCGAATCAGCGTTTGATTGACACGGTCGGGAACAGACCACACAATCGCACATCTGTATAAAAGTGAAGTCAACGCATATCGACCTCGTGGGTTTTTGTGAGAGGAGTTTGATTTTGAGATAGCGGATTTTTGGTGATATAGTGCGATTTGTTTAGTTATATTTAGGCTTACATTTAAATTTACACAACACAGAGACACAGAGTATACATATAGTGACACATTAATAGATACATAGATATAAATATATATAGACAGCTAGATTAATAGATAGATAGATAGATACAGATAGATTAAAGATAGGCTACATATATAAATACATAGATAGATTATAGATACATTTATAGATACATATTATATACATATCTAAATACATAGATAGATTAGAGATACATATCTAGATAGATTTGGATAAAATGGAGGCTCCCCAGAAGAGATGCCGTACATCTGTGGTGTGGGAGCATTTCCATTTAGAAACCCCAAATAAAGTGAGATGTGTGTATTATTGTGATCGGCAGCTCGCCTACTGCAACAATACATCATCCAGTAGAAACACAGGACAGTTTATGGGAACTTTTTGATACTCGTATCCATCAAACCCAGATGATACACAATGCTACAGCTGATGCCACAGTGGAAGTGAAAAAATACATCAACGATGCGTATTTGCCCAGAACTCATGATCCCAGAACTCAATGCTCTGTGATCATGAACTTACTGGAAAGAGAGAGCAGTAATCTTTCCTCATTTGTATGTATCAGCTAAAAAATATCTTTGCATGCCAGCAACAAGTGTCCCTTGTGAGAGGATTTTTTCAAAGGCTGGAGAAATTATCTGTAAAAAAAGAAGTAGGCGAAGTCCTTCCACAGCAGAGAAATTAATATTTTTGAATAAAAATATGTAAAAAAGTGAGACATTGTGGCTTGATTTATTTTATTAATATTCATTTTGCAGGACCAAAATAACATTATGCACAGTGAGGAGCCTATAGGTTGCAAGATTCACATATTAGAAGAGTACAATAATAAAAAAACAACACATTTACATGGCTCGTCAAGGTTGTTTCAGGTCAACACCTGCAAGTGACCACTAGGTGTCGCCGTGGAGACGGGTGCCGGATTGATTCGAAGCCTCGACACAATATGGACCATTTGGTTCAACTGTTTCATTGCTTCACGAAGCCTCGATCTGCCCACCACTAGCACAAAGCTCCAATCCAAACTCTTACTATAGTAAACTAACACAAACTGGTACAGGCAGAAGGGTAACACTCACAATACAAGGTAACATTTACAAGGACCGACCAGGACAGACTGAACAGAAGCAAACTAAACACTGACACTGATGAACAAAAACCAGGTACACAGATGAACACAGGTGATGAAGATGGACTGACGACGGTAGGCATGGAAACAGATGAGTGGCGGGAAAACAAAAGACATGTGACTAACTGAAAACAAACAGAAGAACTAAACAGAACAGAATCAGACAGACACAGACGTCCCTCTGACGACTCATTTTTATAGGCTATTTTTCTCTTTCCCTTCTTACTCCTCATCAATACATAAAATATATAGAAGGTTCTTGTTATTTTATTTTATTTTATTTTATTTTATATAAGTTTTTGTTCATTTTAACACAGAAGGGTTGTCCGGGTATTGTTCTACTTAGTAAACCAGGACCTACGGTTGTTTTTTTCTTTAGTTTCTCCTAATGTTAGGTTATAGGGGCATTCACAATATAAATAAAAGAAAGGCTGTATTTTTATTTTTTGTTTTTTTATTTTTTTATTTTAAAGACAAAAGGGCAGATTTTTATTTATTACAAGATATGTATTTATTATTTATCACATTTGGTGGAGTCATGATCAGCAGGGGTCGCTATTCTCAGAGGGAATTTCAGGGGCAAAATTCTTCATATTGAGAGTAATAATAATGGAAGGTGGCTAATAATCATACTAGAGGACTCATAAGCAATATATTATTGCTAATATTTATGGTACTAATTGCAAATCTACAAATTTGATTTTACTCCATGAATTAGAAAAACGAATTTTAGACCTATACTAAATGTATTCTCGGGGGTGATTTTAATGTAGTCCCAGACAGTAACAAAGATAGATGGCCTCCCACAGGTGTGAAAGATGATAGCAGCAAGATTATCTCTGGGTTGTGCAATAACGTACGTCTTGTTGATATCTGGCGGAAAATTAACCCCAAAACACTCATGTATACATGGCAAAATATTGATTTGTCTTTGCAGTCTCGAGTAGATTTATGGTTAATATCAGAGGAGTTGACATCATTGATAGACAACGCTACAATTGATCCTGACCATAACTCTATTCACATTTCTATCATCACTAATGACAACAGAAAGAACTTGAGCAGAAGTGGATACTGGATTTTATTATTAAATGATGAATTTAAATGTGAAGTCTTAAAAATAATTGATAAATACTATTAACAGGGTGTAATTACTAACGAATATGGGCTGCAGTGGGATTTCATGAAATATAAAGTGAGGAGTTTAGCCATTGGAAAGAGTAAAACACTTGCCAAAAATAAACAGGCCAAAATGCAAGCCATCCTCCAAGAGTTTGGGGCCCTGTGTGATGAAACAGATTTAACAGAGGAACAAGCTCAAAATCTCATACAATTACAATAAACATTATGAAGAAAAGGCCAAATCTGCTTTCATACGTTCCAGAAGAAAGTGGCTCGAACATGGTGAAAAAAACAAGATATTTTTATTCTTTGGAAAAAAGAAATGGTGAAAGATTATCAATTAATAAATTACGCATAAATAATTCTGTCACAGATGATTTCTCTACAATTTCTAAACATATAGCAGAATTGTATACAACTTTGTACTCTAGCTCTGAAATACAATACTCCTCAATGGAGTCCTTCTTAGAAGAATTGGATAATACTACTTTTGTTAATGATGAATTTGGCAGCACTTGTGAGAAAGAGCTTAGTATTACAGAAGTTATGGACAATATTAAGAAACTCAAGGACAGCAAATCTCCTGGTAATGATGGGCTTACGAATGAACTTTCAGAGATGCCCTTTGCCCGTTTATTTGAGCTATGTTTAATGAATCTATAAAGAGTGGAATCTTCCCTCAAGCTCTCTTTGTACCCAAGACATTTACCAAAGAATTTGACAAGTTGTTATTTGATTTTGTTTGGGGAAAAAAACTCATTATTTAAAGAAAAATATATTATGCAATCCATATGATCAGGGTGGTTTGAATGTGGTGGTTTTACTTTTAAAATAAATTGGCTAAAATGTTTTATTAAAAATAATTGCTCTATGTGGAATATTTTCCCTAACCATTTAATTAATCAACTTTTTCCTTAGATGCAGTTTTGATATCAACAAAATACCTCTTTGTTTATCTAATTTTCACAAGCAAGTCTTTTTGACATGGAGTTTGGCTTTTAAACATAACTTCTCTCCTCACTCCTTTTTTATTTGGAATAATAAGTATATTACACACCGAAGAAAAACATTATTTTTAAGACATTGGTTTCAGTCTGATATACTATTAGTTAGTCAGTTGTTGAATTCTGGTGGTCAGTTTTTGAGTATTACTGAACTATGTCTGACATTTAAGTGCCATATTTCTGTTAAACAATATGGTATTGTCATGAAGTCTATTTCTGCCAAAATATTATCTCTATTCAGAAATCAGGGCTCTAGGGGTAACACTGCAAGTAAAGTCTCCAAAATTAATGATAAATGCAGTAACCAATTGATTAGATCTCTTTCTATCAGTATCTCTTCTCCTCCGTCTAAGTTTGTTTGGGTTCATGTTTCCCTCATTTTTGGGGAGTTCTTAGTCGGTATTGTGTATCAAATAAAACCAAAGAAGTCTTTTAAAATTGCTCACAGAATATATCCTGTGAAAGACACGTGACATTAGAGCGTTTTCATCTGGATATTGATTACAATGGCTGTTTTTGTAATTGTGAAAGAGAGTCTAGTGTGCACTTATTTGAATGTCCCTGTTCTTCAATCTTTTGGTATGAGATGTCTCCATTTCTAGGTGTTAAAATGAACTGCAACCTTGTCTTAAATTTGTCATCTGTCTTACTTCATACAAATGAATTGGACTTTTCTATAAGAAAAATGTATGTTATCGATTTGTTTCTATTATTAGGAAAATTTCATATTCATCAAACTAAATGGAGTAACTCAAAACCCAACTTTGCTAATTTTAAAGCAGCCTTTAAAATGTATTTTGAGTCTGTAAAGTTTTTAAAAAATCGAAAAGCCCAAAGATCTGTATCTCTGCTAAAGGAATTTAATATATGTTTGTGATGCCCTTTATCTCTTTTTTATTTATTTATTTTTTATTATTGTTGTTTCAAGTTATACTTATCAAATGTGAAAATGTGTAAAAGAAATGTCAAGAACTTGATATCAAACTCTGTAATTTTGAAAATTCAATAAAAAAAATTTTTTTTTTAAAAAGCACAGCGCGAGCTTAGACTGAGTCACGTGCTCCCTGTTACTTTACTCAGCGCTGCTCAGGATGGACCAATCACGTTTGTGTTATTAATCACGTGTGTGATTACTGGATCCGCTCGCTCTCGACACTCCTCAACGCTTATTTCATTTATCATCTGCTTACTTTATTTAATCATGGTATAGAGTTTGATAAGACAGATATAATACAGGTTTTGTGAACGATATGTAAACGCTTACGTTGCAGAGATTTGAACGCAGTTGATTGAAGGAAGGCGTTAAAGCGCCGCCTGGAGGAAGAGCTCCAAACACACACACACACACACACAGCGCCGCAGGAGAAGCACGTCATCCGCCCGCGACGAGCCTGCGAAGATGGCTTCCTTGCAGAAGGGGAAGAAGAAGGTGGTAAACCAAGAGGACTTGCGGCGCTTGATGCGGGAGAAGAAGCGTTCGACGGAGCGCGATAAGCGCGTGGACTCGCCGCACGCCCGATACAGCAGTGCGGGTCAGCTGAGCTGCGCGCTGTGCAACGCGCCGGTGAGGTCATCGCTGCTGTGGCACACTCATGTGCTGGGCAAGACACACAAGGACCGAGTCAGCGAGCTGAAGAACAGGGAGAGCACTCCCTCATCATCCTCAGTGCTGAAGAGCAGAACAGCACCCGCTCCTTCATCATCATCATCCTCATCCTCAGTGCTGAAGAGAGGCGCGCCCGAGCCCGCGAGTTCAGCATCAGGAGAAGCGAAGAGAGCCAAGACCCGCGTCACTGCAGGTGCGACACACCATCACAACACCACAACAACAACACCACATCCACAACACCAACACCACATCAACAACACCACATCAACAACACCACCACATCAGCAACACCACATCAGCAACACCATCACAAGAACACCACCACATCAACAACACCACAACAACAACACCACCACATCAACAACACCAACACCACAACAACACCATCACAACAACACCACATCAGCAACACCACATCAACAACACCACATCAGCAACACCATCACAAGAACACCACCACATCAACAATACCACAACAACAACACCACATCAACAACACCACATCAACAATACCACAACAACAACACCACATCAACAACACCACAACAACAACACCAACACCACCACAACAACAACACCACACCAACAACACCAACACCACAACAACAACAACACCACAACAACAACACCACAACAACAACAATACCACAACAACAACACCACAACAACAACACCACAACAACAACACCAACACCACCACAACAACAACACCACATCAACAACACCAACACCACAACAACAACACCACATCAACACCACCACATCAACAACAACACCATCTCAACAACACCACATCAGCAACACCACATCAGCAACACCACATCAGCAACACCACATCAGCAACACCACATCAGCAACACCACCACATCAACAACACCACATCAGCAACACCACATCAGCAACACCACAACAACAACACCAACACCACCACAACAACAACACCACATCAACAACACCAACACCACAACAACAACACCACATCAACAACACCACATCAGCAACACCACAACAACAACACCACAACAACAACACCAACACCACCACAACAACAACACCACATCAACAACACCAACACCACAACAACAACACCACATCAACACCACCACATCAACAACAACACCACATCAGCAACACCACATCAGCAACACCACCACATCAACAACACCACATCAGCAACACCACATCAGCAACACCACATCAGCAACACCACATCAAGAACACCACCACATCAACAACACCACATCAGCAACACCACATCAGCAACACCACATCAGCAACACCACATCAAGAACACCACCACATCAACAACACCACATCAACAACACCACATCAGCAACACCACATCAGCAACACCACATCAGCAACACCACATCAGCAACACCACATCAACAACACCACATCAACAACACCACATCAACAACACCATCACAACACCACATCAGCAACACCACATCAAGAACACCACCACATCAACAACACCACATCAACAACACCACATCAACAACACCACATCAGCAACACCACATCAAGAACACCACCACATCAACAACACCACATCAGCAACACCACATCAGCAACACCACATCAGCAACACCACATCAGCAACACCACCACATCAACAACACCACATCAACAACAACACCACATCAACAACACCACCACATCAACAACACCACATCAACAACAACACCACATCAACAACACCAACACCACAACAACAACACCACATCAACAACACCACATCAGCAACACCACATCAACACCACCACATCAGCAACACCACATCAGCAACACCACATCAGCAACAGCACATCAACAACACCACATCAACAACACCACATCAACACCACCACATCAGCAACACCACATCAGCAACACCACATCAGCAACACCACATCAGCAACACCACATCAGCAACACCACATCAAGAACACCACCACATCAGCAACACCACATCAGCAACACCACATCAACAACACCACATCAACAACACCACATCAACAACACCACATCAAGAACACCAACACCACAACAACAACACCACATCAGCAACACCACATCAGCAACACCACATCAGCAACACCACATCAAGAACACCACCACATCAGCAACACCACATCAACACCACCACATCAGCAACACCACATCAGCAACACCACATCAGCAACACCACATCAGCAACACCACATCAGCAACACCACATCAGCAACACCACATCAGCAACACCACATCAGCAACACCACATCAGCAACACCACATCAGCAACACCACATCAACAACACCACATCAACAACACCACATCAAGAACACCAACACCACAACAACAACACCACATCAGCAACACCACATCAGCAACACCACATCAGCAACACAAGAACACCACCACATCAACAACACCACATCAACAACACCATCACAACAACAATACCACATCAACAACATCATCACATAAAGAACACCACCACATCAACAACACCATCACAACAACACCACATCAGCACCACCACATCAACAAACACCACATCAACAACACCATCACAAGAACACCACCACATCAACAACACCACATCAACACCACCACATCAACAACACCACATCAACAACACCATCACATCAACACCACCACATCAACACCACCACATCAACACCACCACAACAACACCACATCAGCAACACCACATCAGCAACACCACATCAACAACACCACATCAACAACACCACATCAACAACACCATCACAAGAACACCACCACATCAACAACACCACATCAACAACACCACATCAACAACAACACCACATCAACAACACCATCACAACAACAACACCACATCAACAACACCACATCAACAACACCATCACAACAACAACACCACATCAACAACATCATCACATAAAGAACACCACCACATCAACAACACCACATCAACAACATCATCACATAAAGAACACCACCACATCAACAACACCATCACAACAACACCACATCAGCAACACCACATCAACACCACCACATCAACAAACACCACATCAACAACACCATCACAAGAACACCACCACATCAACAACACCATCACAACACCACATCAACACCACCACATCAACAACACCACATCAACAACACCACCACATCAACACCACCACATCAACAACACCACATCAACAACACCACATCAACAACACCACATCAACAACACCATCACAAGAACACCACCACATCAACAACACCATCACAACAACAACACCACATCAACAACACCACATCAACACCACCACATCAGCAACACCACATCAACAACACCATCACAACAACAACACCACATCAGCAACACCACATCAGCAACACCACATCAACAACACCACATCAACAACACCACATCAGCTACACCACATCAGCAACACCACATCAACAACACCATCACAAGAACACCACCACATCAACAACACCATCACAACAACACCACATCAGCAACACCATCACAAGAACACCACCACATCAGCAACACCACATCAGCAACACCACATCAACAACACCACATCAACAACACCATCACAAGAACACCACCACATCAACACCACATCAACAACACCACATCAGCAACACCACATCAACAACACCACATCAACAAAACCACATCAACAACACCATCACAAGAACACCACCACATCAACAACACCACATCAACAACACCATCACAACAACAACACCACATCAACAACAACACCATCACAACAACACCACATCAGCAACACCACATCAGCAACACCACATCAGCAACACCACATCAACAACACCATCACAACAACACCACATCAGCAACACCACATCAACAACACCACATCAACAACACCACATCAACAACACCACATCAACAAAACCACATCAACAACACCATCACAAGAACACCACCACATCAACAACACCACAACAACAACACCACATCAACAACAACACCATCACAACAACACCACATCAGCAACACCACATCAACAACACCATCACAACAACACCACATCAGCAACACCACATCAGCAACACCACATCAACAACACCACATCAACAACACCACATCAGCAACACCACATCAACAACACCACATCAACAACACCACATCAACAACACCATCACAAGAACACCACCACATCAACAACACCATCTCAACAACACCACATCAACAACACCATTACAAGAACACCACCACATCAACAACACCATCACATCAACACCACCACATCAACAACACCACATCAATACCACCACATCAGCAACACCACATCAACACCACCACATCAGCAACACCACATCAACAACACCACATCAACAACACCACATCAACAACACCACATCAGCAACACCACATCAACAACACCACATCAGCAACACCACATCAGCAACACCACATCAGCAACACCACATCAACACCACCACATCAGCAACACCACATCAGCAACACCACATCAGCAACACCACATCAACACCACCACATCAACAACACCACATCAGCAACACCACATCAGCAACACCACATCAGCAACACCACATCAACAACACCACATCAACACCACCACATCAGCACCACCACATCAGCAACACCACATCAACAACACCATCACAACAACACCACATCAGCAACACCACATCAACAACACCACATCAACAACACCATCACAAGAACACCACCACATCAACAACACCATCTCAACAACACCACATCAACAACACCATTACAAGAACACCACCACATCAACAACACCATCACATCAACACCACCACATCAACAACACCTCATCAACAACACCACATCAACACCACCACATCAGCAACACCACATCAACACCACCACATCAGCAACACCACATCAACAACACCACATCAACAACACCACATCAGCAACACCACATCAACAACACCTCATCAACAACACCACATCAGCAACACCACATCAGCAACACCACATCAGCAACACCACATCAACACCACCACATCAGCAACACCACATCAGCAACACCACATCAGCAACACCACATCAACACCACCACATCAACACCACCACATCAACAACACCACATCAGCAACACCACATCAGCAACACCACATCAGCAACACCACATCAACAACACCATCACAAGAACACCACCACATCAACACCACATCAACAACACCACATCAGCAACACCACATCAACAACACCA